ACGACAAGTTGTGAGTCGCTACAGATCCTGAGTTGTTGAGCGCCCATTTCTTTAGCGAGCCGAAGGCCTGCCAACAGAGCTTCATATTCGGCTTCGTTGTTGGAAGTTCGGAATTGGAATCGGATGGCATATTCGATGGTGGTCTGGTCAGGGGCCTTGAGTACCAAGCCGGCTCCGCTGCCCTGTCGGTTGGACGAACCGTCCACGTAGAGAGTCCAAAGTGGAATTGACGGATTAAAGATTCCTTCGGTCGGGTGGGCGACTGGTACCGTCGAAGATGAATCGGATGCGGCGTCCTTCGAAACTGGCCCCTCGGACGCGGTTAACTCAGAGATGAAATCGGCTACAGCCTGTCCCTTCTCGGCAGGACGAGGGTGGTAGCGGATGTCGAATTCGCCGAGCTCGATGGCCCATTTGACTAGCCGACTGGATGTCTCCGGTCTCTGGAGTATCTGGGGCAGAGGCTGATTGGTGAGGATGGTAATGCTATGAGCCTGAAAGTACGGTCGAAGCTTGCGTGCTGAGAGGACGAGAGCGTAGGTGAGTTTTTCTAGCTCGGGGTACCGAATCTCAGCGTCTTGCAAGGCATGGCTAGTGTAGAAAATGGGGAGTTCGATGCCGTTCGGCTTGCGAATGAGCACAGAGCTAAGTACTGTTGCCGAAACCGAAAGGTAGAGGATGAGTTCTTCGCCGGGAAGAGGAGTGGATAATAGGGGTGACCTGCTCATGTAGGCCTTAAGATCTTGGAAGGCGCGATCGCATTCGGCAGTCCAGGCAATCTGTCGTTTGCTTCCTTTGAGGGCCTTGAAGAATGGGGCGCACCGATCGGTAGCCTTGGAGATGAACCGGGCCAGAGCGGCGATGCGCCCAGTCAGACTCTGAATCTCCTTCTGTGTCTTCGGAACCTGCATGTCGAGTAATGCCTTGATTTTTTCAGGGTTGGCCTCGATTCCTCGTTGGCTGATCATGAAGCCGAGAAATTTGCCCGAGGAAACGCCGAAGGCACACTTGCTCGGGTTGAGGCGCATGTTGTACTTTTTTAAGACGCCGAACATGAGCGAAAGGTTGTGGAGATGAGAATCGGCCGTTCTGCTCTTGACCAGCATATCGTCCACATAGACTTCCATCGAGGTGCCAATGAGGTCGGAAAAAATTTTGTTGACCAATCGCTGGTATGTTGCCCCAGCGTTCTTCAGGCCGAACGGCATGACCTTGTAGCAGTAAAGTCCCTTGTCAGTGATGAATGCCGTGTGTTCGCGATCGGTAGGGCTCATGAATATCTGGTTGTAGCCTGAGTATGCATCCATGAAGCTGAGAAGTTCCATGGCCTGCCGTGGCATCTACCATATGATCGATCCGTGGCAGAGGAAAGCTGTCCTTTGGGCAAGCCTTGTTTAAATCGGTATAGTCTTGACACATTCTCCAGGCGCCGTTTGATTTTTTGACTAAAACCGAATTTGCCAGCCAAATTGGGTAGGTTACTTCCTGGATGAAGCCGATGGTCTTCAGTTTGTCTACTTCGAGCCTCATTGCCTCATACCGTTCGGCATCGTAGGCCCGCCGTTTCTGCCTGATGGGTTTGAAAGTGGGGCAGATGCTGAGCTTGTGACTGATGACGCTCGGGGCGATACCGGGCATATCGTCGTATGACCAGGCGAAGACTTCTGTATTGGTGCGCAGGAAGGTGATAAAATCGGCCCTCAGTGCCGGACTCAAGGTTGTACCGATTCGAACTTGTCTGTCCGGTTGTGCTTCGGAGAGGGTGACTGGTTCTAAATCTTCGGCGGGTTGCGCTTGCGGGGTTACAGTCTCATCTCGGGGGTCATCTGGTTTGTCCGTCCCCCTGCCGTTCGGTACGCCCAAGCTGGTGGCGACCGAGTATGTTTCGCGAAGCGCAGCCCTTGCCGATTCCTTGGTTGCCGAAACGTAACACGTCCGTGCACTCAATTGGTCCCCTCGCACTTGGCCGACGCCAGCGTGTGTGGGGAACTTGAGGAGGAGCATGTGTGGTGACAGCATGGCCTTCATTTTTGTGAGCGCCGTCCTGCCGATGA